CTCTCTGGTGTGTTGCACCCAACCAGTGCCTCTTGTTTATGCTACTTGCTGGTGTTTGTGACCCTTACAGTATAGTCAGGGTGCCATATAATTAGGACAGGAAATATTATAGGATTTCAGAAGGAATAGAGCTTACTTTAGAGAACACAGTATAGTGGAAAGAACATAGGCTTTAGAGCCAGGCAGATCTATGTTCAAATGGTAGCCTGGCTTCCAGCTAGCCTTTTGCCTTAGACAGGTATTCTCCCTCTAGCTCCCTTTGCTCATGATAAAATGGATAATATTGCCCCCCACCCACTACTTTTACAGGGTTGTAGTGAGGATTAGCCATAATGTATATATATATAATAGTTACCTAACATGCTTGGCACCTGAGCATATACCATAGTTGATCCTGTCCAAAAATCCAACAGGACACCTTGTTTTAAGTACTTGGAAATTGTTATAAAAAGTAGCATGGGGGGAAAAGCCCACAAAACTCTAGGTAGACTAAAGAGTTAAATCTAAAAAATGTATTTTTTTTTTTTAACTAAAAGGAAATGCAGTTGTATATTTAACTTTCCTCAGGATGAGAAAACGCTTTCTAAGCATGAAAACCATGAAGGAGAGCCAAAGAAAGGTCAGGAGAGTTGACCCGAAAATTTTTGAGCTATTCTGTGTTAAATATTATAAACACAGTTAAAAGGCAGATAGCAAACGAGAAAAGTATTTGCAAAAAGTATGACAGAGGGCTAATATCTCACTATCTATGGTTATAAATCAATAAGAAAAAACATTAACATCCCCACAGAACAATGGACAAAGGACATGAACAGAGAATTCACAATAGAAGAATCACAAACAGCAAATAGACATGTAAGAAAAAGTTGAACTGGGCTAGTAACCCAAGAATTCTAAGTTTGAATCAGTTGCCATTTCTCCCCTAATTTCTTTCATCTTTGTCAGCCAAAAGATATGTACTGCCATTGTTTTCTGATGGAATTATAAATTGCTGTAGCCTTCTCCCAAGAAAGCAATTTGGCAGTATAAATCATGTACCTTAAAGTTTGTACCCTTGGCTTCAGTAATTTCATTTTTTAAGAATATATTCTAGAGACTGAGCACGGTGGCTCATGTCTAGCATTTTGGGAGGCAAAGGTGGGAGTATTGCTTGAGGCCAGGAGTTCAAGACCAGCCTGAGCAAGAGCATGACCCCATCTCTACAAAAAATAGAAAAATTAGCCGGGTATGGTGGTACATGCCTGTAGTCCCAGCTACTCGGGAGACTGAGAAAAGAGAATTGCTTGAGCCCAGGAGTTTGAGGTTGCAGTGAGCTAATATGACACCACTGCACTC